GAGGCCGGGCGGTGGTGGCACACGCCTTTAATCCCAGCACTTGGGAGGCAGAGGCAGGCAGATCTCTGTGAGTTCAAGGCCAGCCTGGTCTCCAAAGCGAGTTCCAGAAAAGGCACAAAGCTACACAGAGAAACCCTGTCTTGAAGCCCCCCCCCCAAAAAAATGTGAGCAGCGGCTTGCAGGCACCAAATTTTCTGTTTCCCCAGGACTAAGATCATTTGCAAACATTCTTTTTTGAGTTCACAAAGACTTCACTGAGCACAGTTAGTGAAAAAGAAGAATTGACTGGGACACAACCAGGCTCAGTCAGTGGAAGGGTGTGGTGCCTCGTTCCAAAGTCATGCTTCCCTGAGTCTGTAGCTTTGTGCTCGCTGTGTTCTACCATGCTTCCTTCAGAAGAGTTAAGCCTCTGGCCCTCCTTCCTTCAGACAATGCTGCCATTCCTAGAATTTATGGCCCCAATTGAGAAGTGAATAGTCATAAACTATGGTAAAAATGAAAATTTTCTACATAAATGCTAAGACAGAAATGTGTAGTACCCTTGTCTTCACCCTTCTCTTACACTGACAGAAATTGCCAATTTAGCTTGGCTCCTTTTCCTATGGAGCACACATGGAGTTCTATAATTCTTCTCAGCATAAGACTCCAGGCAACCATGCCATGTTGATGAGAATTGGCTATCTAAGATGAAATAGTCACTCTTCCTTGCATGATGATCCATGACCTTATAGGATAAGCATATATTTGGGGGTTGAAGTTGTAAAGCAAAATTATCAATCGGTTTCAAAACCTAGACCTTATAATATCTCAGAGCATCTCAGCTGAGTCTGGCTTAGAAGGGCCTCAGGGAGTCCACTGCATAAGAATTGGCTCCTGTAACAGTAGGCTGGGAACATCTTCCTTGTTGATCTCTGAATTACCAGTCCAAAATATAGTTGGTATTCAACGTGTTTGTTGAATGAATGCCTAGATCAATACCTTAGTAGCCACACTTTTCCTTGTAGATGCCAAGTACCTGGGACGGCAAAGGAGAAAATTGGTTCGTGGTGTCAGAGGTTGCAACCTACAGCCAGCTGGTTCCTGTGATGGTGGGCGAGTTTGGTGGAATAGAACTGTTGACCTCACAGCAGTTGAGAAGCAGAGAGGGCAGAGGAAGAGGCTGGGGACAGCACACATCCCAAGCACAGGGCCCCAGTGGCCTACTTTGTCTAACTAGGACCCACCTTCGAAAGTTTCTACCACTTTCCAGTAATGCCGTCAAATTATGAATCTGCCAACGGACTGATTCATTGATTAAGTCAGAGTCTACATGCTCCATTCCCCTCTCAATGATTGAATATACCAGCTGGAGACCAAGTCTTCAAACACATGAGACTTTGGTCCAGGGAGAACTTCATAGCTAAACCATAACAGCACCTTTCTTCCCCAGGGAGAGAACACTGGTGTAGGCTGATAACACAGCAGGAACTTCAGGGCACATAGTAGAACCAACACTGCTAAGGGAAGAGCTCTTTCAGAGCAGCAGTCGAGGGACGGAAAGAAACTGAATTGGACAAGTATTCTATCAGCTGCCTCGGCTTCCTTTTTATTCTCTCCTTGGCTTACCTCTACTTCTCCTAGTAAGATGGGCCTGGGTATCCCATACAAGAGTGAGGGTGGAGGAACAAGGAAAGAGGAGGCAGGAGGCACAATGCTTGGGCTGTGATACCGTCTTGACTCTGAGCCAGCAACTGAACTGCTCTTTCCATACTTGCTAGGCACACAGTGCTGTGCCTGTCGTATGGGGCTCTGGACTCTTATCCCTTACTCTCCCTAGCTTAGTCCCTCTATGACATCTCAGCTTCCTCTCCACGTTCTGTTAGCTGCTAAGTGAGGCTGGTCCCTTAACAGACAAACTTGCAGAGCCCTTTATTTTCTGCTAGAACTTTATGATAGAAGTAAGCATGTCTGGTGGCCTTTTCTGTAAACCATTTTAATCTTTTCAACACATACTGTGCTCCATCCATGAGCTAAGTGTGCACAAAATACAGCTACTACTGTTCCTTCTTAAATTAGGAACTGAAACTGAGCATGCTCAGGAATGGGCCAACACGTATAAAAATACATATAGGTTCCCTGAATAAAATCCCCATGCTGCTTCTGCTCAAGGAGATCACTGCTTTATAAATAACTCCCATGTTCTTTTTGCTTGCTGCAGGAAATAAATCCTTTTCATTGGCGGACATGCTTGTGTTGGGCCTTGCCCTTGCCAAGCTGAAAACCCATCGTTGTTACCCTTCTATTACTTATGGCAAATCAGATTTGAGAGGAAATAGGGATGAGGGAGGGAAGAGAACCCAGGAAGAAATGGATACATTTGACTGGGAGCCTAAGGAAGGGATGTCACTTAGGGGACAATATTAGCAGGAAGTCAGGACTGAAAAAAATGTTATTGATTTCTGAATCATTATTTTATTATCATAGGTGATTTTCTGTTCAAATCTCAGGATCTGGAGGCCCCTGGTAGCTAGAAGTAGTGTTGCTGAGGCAGTGGGTTGTGTGGTGTACAAAGGATAGGGACTCTGGAGTAAGACTGAGCTGGGTTACCACTTGCATAATAGGGGACAAGCTTTTTAATTCTTCTGGATTTTAGATTTTTATGTATGGGATAAAAAGATTTACTTTATGGGATCATAGTAATTAAAAGAAAGAAAGATAAAGATGAAGTCTACAAAGTTTGTGTGTGTGTGTATGTATGTATGTGTGTATGAAGTGTGCTTATAAAACTCAGAGGGTATTTTTGTTCACAATAGTAATACTCTTATGTCTGGTATTTCCTTGTAGGAGGTGATAGCTTTTTTTTTTTCCAAGAAAGCAAGAAAAACACTGAGTTTCTAGGAATCTACGAGGAAGATGGGTGTTCACACATGTGATAGAGTTTTATCTTCTGTACCAGAAGCAATCTTGGCAGCATGTCAGGAAGTCTCAAGTCTTCCCCAACAACTATAGTAATCATTAGCTACTAGTTCCTTAAACTACCCACAAGTGACCTTAATTTTCTGACATGCATGTAAAGGTACATGCACGCGCACATGCACACACATACACACACACACACACACACACACACACACACACACACACACACACAGTAGTGAATGTGATAGGGAAAAGATACCAAACATTTCCTAAAGATATATGAGGTGTCATTTTACACTAAGGGGTAAGAAGAGGGAACCAACATTGAGAACTTGCTCTGTGTCAGCAGTTCCCATGACAATGCAGGAAAGCAGCTCTCCTAAACTGTGGCCTGAGGCTCTTCTAGTGAGAGGTAGAACTCCATATCTGACAACAAGCTTGGCTAAGTCAAAGCTTTTTTTCCTTTCATCTGAGCAGTTGGTAAGGCAAGGAGAATGGACTAAAACAGGATATTCACACCTGGCCAGGTCGTGAGCCTCAGGGATTCACGGATACCTGTAGGCACTTGTCAGATTTTAGTAAAGGTTTTTGGCACTAAGTAAACTGATTGGATTGAGCTTAGGCTCTTTTGCCTTCGGGACCAGTAATTCTGTTGCAAATGTTAAACCTTGGGAAACAAGGTAACATATCAGTGTAAATGGTGTATTAAAAAGTGGGATAAAATTCTACTAAATTAGCTTTTTTTTTTTACTTAATACAAAAGATATTTATTAGTAGTTGATGGTTCTTTCCATCACTTTTAAACATTAACTAATCCAATACATACCTATTGAATTTTCCTAGTACAAGCTAACAGTCTAAAATCTGTGAGAATATAAACACATATAAGATATTACTTGCAACACTCAGGAGAATGTTATTTTAATAAGAGATATAATAACACTTCCTTTCAAATAATATAGTGTTTTTGTTTTTATGTTTTTTTTGTTTGTTTGGTTTTTGGTTTTTCGAGACAGAGTTTCTCTGTGTAATTTTTTGGTGCCTGTCCTGGATCTCGCTCTGTAGACCAGGCTGGCCTCAAACTCACAGAGATCCACCTGGCTCTGCCTCCCAAGTGCTGGGATTAAAGGCGTGTGCCACCACCGCCCAGCTTTTTTTTTGGTTTTTGAGACAGAGTTTCTCTGTATAGCTTTGGAGCCTTTCCTGGAACTCTCTCTGTAGACCAGGCTGGCCTCGAACTCACAGAGCTCCGCCTGCCTCTGCCTCCCTAGTGCTGGGTTTAAAGGCATGTGATGCCACTGCCCATCAATATAGTTTTTATTACTACATGTGTCAAATGTGATTGACAATGTATTTTCTTGTTACAGACTTTATGAGACTGAATTGTATACATAGATTTTTATTAATATAATTTAATATAAAAGATACTGAATATTTGCAATTTTTCCAATAGTAGAACCTGATTTCAAAATGCAACAAATTATAATTTAACTTTGTACCACTTCTGATTTCAACACTAGACTTTCAAATTTCAAAATTACATATCATATTTTTACAAAACCCTGAGCTATCTTCTCTCTAGATAGTTTTTTGTTTTTTCCATATAGAGATTTAAAAAAACGAGGTTATATGCTTATCATAAGAAAACATCATCTTGGAGATATTATTATAAACAATTACCAGGGATAAGAGCAAAGAGACTATATATTCATTCATTTTCTTTGGCTAAAACCTACCATGTCAAAACAGTGTTGTAATTGTGACATTAGACCATTAGCCCGGAATCTGACCATCGGCCCCGTGATTTGGAGCATTCTGTCCTAGTTTTCCCCAGTCAATCAGTTCTTTCAAAGTCTGGCTTTTTACCAGATGCTCATGAGGGCTTTGTAAGGACAACGGTTTGTGGAACAAAAGAGATTGTGCAGTGCATCTCATTCAGTGAGTGAGTAATGCAAGAATTATACAGAAGAAATGAGGTCCTCCAAATAGTCATCTGTACCACAGGCAGAGTCATCAGAGAGGAAGTCAGACTTCTGTTGGAAATGATGCTGATTGGGCCCTACACAGTGGAAGCCGTTACAGAAAAGGAAGCCCTTACTTACCCTGATGGTGATGAGGTATGAGAAGGCACACAGCGCTTTTGAAAATCATTGCTTCCAAAGATCCTGTGGAGTTAGGCTGTCTTCTCAGAGTCTGCCTTGCTATGTGAATGAAGGCTTGGCTCAGAGAAAGCCAATGTGCTACTCTCAGAGCAAACGCAGTCCCACATTTGAATCTGTAAAGGAGATAACAATTTTGAAAAATCTTGGGCTGGAGAGATGGCTCAGAGGTTAAGAGCACTGACTGCTCTTCCAGAGGTCCTGAGTTCAACTCCCAGCAACCACATGGTGGCTCACAACCATCTGTAATGAGATCTGGTGCCCTCTTCTGGTCATACATGCTGTATACAAAATAAATAAATAAATCTTTAAAAAAAAACTTAAGTTGGCATCTAATAGTGTGCAGTGCCCAAGTGAATCACTTTGGCAACCAAGAGTAGAATAAAATGAAAGTCATATCTGTTTTTTTCCTGTTGTTTTGTTTTATGAGATGGTGTGTATTGCTATATTTCTCAGTCTAGCCTCATTCTTGAACTCAAACTACCCTCCTGTCTCAGCCCCTCAATAGCTGAGACTAAAGGCGTGTGCTTTCATCCCTCCTGTGGCTGATAACTCTTATTACTGCCTCCCCAAATCACCCTTTGATTAATGCTCAAAGAAGGACATTTAAAAGAGCCATCATTGTGCTGGGGAGATGGCTCAGTGGGTAAGAACATTTGCTGTTCAAGCATGAGGATCTGAATTCATATCCACAGCACCCATGTGAAAAGCTGGGCATGGCCACCTGTGACTGTCACTCTAGTGCTAAGTGAGGACTGAGCTTAGTACTAATAGTTGAAGGGGCTGGGACAAGAAGGGACAGGTTTCTGCCTTTGTTATACCAGAAGCAGTAAGACTAATGTCCATCTGATTCAGTTCAGTGGCTAGAAAGAGGCCCAGCTACTCAGCTGGGCGCAGCTCAAGAAGCAGCTTGCTCCTTGTTCATGTGATGGCTTGGCTACAAGAACCAGAACAAAGTCATGGAGGCTTTCTTAGTTTGGTCCAGGGGAAAGCCAGGCTGGCAGAAACTCTTCAGCTCTCTCCGCCAGGAAGCAGCAATCTACGTAAACAGGAAGTAGAAAAGGTTGGGGGAGAGGGTGGTGGTTAGGTGGTGAGAAACAAGAGCTGACAGCAGATGGGTCTAAGCGGTTACATGCAAAAGAGTCAGAGACCGGCCCAGGCCTTTGCATGGGACACCTGCCAGTGCGGTCCTTGGAGGCTTTTCCTCGCAAAGGGGTCTGGGCAGTGTGTGTAGCAAAAGGATACATCTTTGAGCACCTTACTTTTGCCAAATGCCTGCTAGGTAGTTTCATTTTATTTGATTATCTTACCATTCTGTGAGCATGGGACTAGTGGAAAAGTTGAAAACCAAAACTGACTCACAAGGAGTAAGTTACTTTGCTCAACTTCATTTGCATAATATCATTATACAGCACTTTGGAAAACCGTCTTTCCTGAAAACGGTTAAGCATGACCTCCTACTAACAGATGTGGGGCCAGTGGTGTGGCTCTGGGTAAAGACTGTTGCCACCAAGCCTGACGACCTGAGTTTGATCCCTGGAATCAACACATGGGAAGGAGAGAACTGATTCCTGTTAGGTGTCCTCAGACAGAGCACATGCATGTGCTCTGCCTCCAGTAAAATAAGTCAATGTAAAATATATATATATATATATATATATATATGTATATATATATATATATATATATATATATAAATATATATCACACCTGCCCCCCACCCCTTGTGTGTGTGCGTGTGTGTGTGTGTGTGTGTGTCCGCCTGTCTGGCTAGGTGGTTGGCTACCTCAAGAAGAAGCTGAATATCTTCTCAGTCACCAGCTCTCAGAAACTCATTGAACTGGAAGGAGAACTTCATATTTTTTATGAGAAGCGAATGGCCACAGAAATTGCTGTTGAGTGGGTTTACTTCTAAGTCAGAGTCCAGTACAAAATAAGAGTCATTAGGAGTAACAAATAAATGATCATATCCAGAAAAAAGAGATGAATTGAGGAGGGAGACTCAGAGAAGAGGATGTTGATCAAGGAGGATTATGGAGGGCATTAGGGAGGAATAGTATGATTAAAACATACCATACGCACATATGAACATTTCACGATGATATTATTTTTAAAAAAGACTATTTTTACACCACATGTATGTGTGCTTGTGTCTGTGTATTAATGCACTTGTGCACTTGTGTGTGGGTACTTGAGGAGGCTAGAAGAGGGAGTCTGACTACCTGAGCTGGAGTTACAGGGGTTGTGAGCTGACCAGCATGGAGGCTGGGAACTGAACTTGGGTCCTCTGCAGAGCAGTCCTTGATTTTAACTACTGAGCCCTCTTTCTTGTGGAATATTTAACTATGCAAAGATGTGTTGCATTTGTTTAATTTGAGGAATATTTGTTTAACTATTAAGGATGTGTTGCATTTGTTTAATTTGAGGAATATTTGTTTAACTATTAAGGATGTGCTGCATGTGTTTAATTAGGTAAAGATGTGTTGCTGTTTTGCCTTGTCTGCTTGAGGCACCTGACTGCTCTAATAAAAAGCTGAACAACCAATAGCAAGGGTGGAGGCATAGGCAGGACTTCTAGGCAGGGAGAGTAAGTAGGAGGAGGGATTTAGACACAGAAAAGAAAGAAAAAGAGATGCCAGGGAGATATCAGGGGCCAGTCAGCCAGACGCGGAGGAAGCAGGAAAGTAGGACATACAGAATGAGAGAAAGGTAAAAAGCCAGAGGCAAAATGTAGATGAATAGAAACAGGTTAAATTAAGTTAAAAAGAGCTAGTGGGACAAACCTAAGCTAAGGCTGAGCATTCATAATTAATAATAAGTTTCCATGCCTTTATTTGGGAGCTGGTTGGTGGCCTAAAGAAAATCCCAACTATACTTTCTAGCCCCTCACAATGATATTTCTAGTATGATTAATTAATATGCACAAATAAAAAAATGAAAAAAAGATTAGTTTTCTAGGGAATAGCAAATTGCCACAAATCTTGTGGTTTAAACCACAGCAGAAATCTGTAATCACTCTCTGAAGGGTAGAAATCTGAAATCAAGGTGTCATCAGGGCCACACTTCTGATGGCTCTAGCAGAGAATCCTTTCTTAACTTGGCCAATTTCTGGTAACCTAACTATAGTCTTGGTTTCTATCTCTGCATGGCCTTTTCCTCTTTATCTTTGTCTGCATCTTTCTCTCATAAGGATGCTTGTTGTTGGTTTTAAGGCCTACCTGGATGACTTCATCTCAAATCCTTAAATTATAACTGCAGGGACCTGTCGTCCAAATAAGGTAGCATTTTCAGAGGCTGGATATTAGGACATGAGCATATTTTTAGAACCAACATTCAACCAAGTTTAAGAAGTATCATTACTAAAACATAAATGCCGATTTCATAATATTTTTAGAAACAACCTTGGAATCGAAAGAGATATTGTCTGGATTAAAATTTGCATTTCCATATCCATATATTTTATTAAAGAAACTGTTTAAAGACAATAGAATAAGGTCAGTGAGTCATCACTGTAGTAGAAAGAAAGGCTGGTGGAGTAGGCTTATAAGACCAGAGACAAAGTAAAACAGTGACACTGTTGACATTTCATTATGTTTTAACAAAGACTCATGTATGCCTGCTAACCTAAGTGATAATTCACAAGTTTAGGCAGTTGACAACATTTTTAGAAAGTAGATAACAACATTCAAATAAGGCATTATAGAAACTTTTACAAGGAACAAAATGTTCACTGTAATCCTTTTAAAAGGTTTAGTCCGTTTTGAAAGATCAACAATGAAGTTTTTAAAAATCAAATGAAAATTCCCACTCCTAATCCTAAGGACATAAGAAGTGCTTGCTGGCATTTGTACTTCACATGTCTGGAATAAAATGGGCCAATGTTTTAAAATACTGTACAAGGCTTGATTCTTTGATTTAGCACCAAGTAAAATAAACATATAGCTCATGGAAGATGTAGTTGTTTTTTTCTTCTATCACTCATATTCTCCTGCTTTTGCCAGCCCACAATACATAAGGGTACATCCATGACCCACTAAGGAATCTAAAATGATCAAGGTTTTAAAATGATTGCTCAAGTTAGCTTTGGCAGCCCATCCTTAATTCCAGCTTTCGGGAGGCTGAAGCAGAAGGATCATGAGTGTGAGGCCAGCGTAGGCCACCTAGTAACTTCAAAGGCCATCTGGGCTCCAAGGCAAGACCCTGTCTCAAAAGCTAAGGGCTGGGGATGTAGCTCAGAGGTAGGGTGCATGCCCAGCATCTGGAAGGCCCTGATTTTCATCCCTTGCACTGCTTAAATGCCACCAGAAGACTTCTTTCCCTTTAATATAGAGTGGCAAATAGCGACACACACAGTGATCTCAGCCCTTGAGGGAGGCTGAGGCAGGGAATATTGAGTTCAAGGCCCTTAATTTAGGAATAAAATGTTCTTGAGAGAGCTCAGTTATTTTGATGGTCCTTTTTAGCTTGTCATGTAAATTCCTTTTATTACTATACCTTTTTGCTAATTAATTGGTAGTTATGTCAAGGACAACATGTTCTTTGAAAACCTTGATCTATTTCTTTTTTCTTAATGATAAACTGTCTACACAGTGCCATGGGTGTGTTCTTATGCTTTTTTTTCTTTTTTATCATAACTTGTTTACAAAAGCAGGACATACATATGGATCAGAAATAGAAACTGGTAAATCCTAAAACATGCTTCCTTTTTTTTTTTTTTTTTTTGGTTTTTTGAGATAGGGTTTCTCTGTGTAGTCCTGGCTGTCCTAGAACTCACTCTGTAGAGCAGGCTGGCCTTGAACTCATAGAGATCTATCTGCCTCTGCCTCCCGAATGCTGGGGTTAAAGGTGTGCACCATCACTGCCCAGCAAAAGCATGTTCCTTAACCAGAGTAGCATCTGAAAATCCAAGTTTGATTACATTGTCTGCTGAAATTAATTCAGTGTTTTCTAAAAATGTACAGTCAATTTCTAACATAAACTTTATCATTCATGTAGTTTGAAAAGAAAATAAGCCATATATTTTTAAAAGATTTGTTTTGATTGTGTGTCTTTGTGTGTGTGTGTGTGTGTGTGTGTGTGTGTGTGTGTGTGTGTGTATCACATTCTTCACCTGTGT